CGAAGTAATACGAAATGTATTTAAGTAGAACGTTTCTCTCTCGAGAGGCCAATTCTAGTTCTCTGTTACATTACTCTGCTCTCTACTTACAACAGTAAGTATTGACATAGGCCATGACCACCTTTTCTTGTGCTTCATGGATATCTGGCTTTGCCTGTCTCTCCACAGTCGCGCTGGTGTTTCCCAGACTGGGATCGGCGCAAGCCTGCTGAAATATGTTCCACTCGGCATGAGCGAGAATCTTGGCAGCCTGACGTTTCTTGAGTAGTGACTTCCTTCGTTGGTCTTTCTGTTCATCCTTTAGCCCTTGTCCGACAATTGCAGTTGCCGAGTGTGTTTTTTTTATTATCGTCTACCCAGACTATGACTCGAACTTTTCCGTGGCTTACAAACGCTCCGCTTTGTTTCATTTTGTCTACTCGGAATCAAGGCCATACCAGTTAGACGGTAATCAGCGGCGTCTCGACGAAATAAGAATTTCTCTCTTGCATTGTCGGCATTTACTCAATCAGTTCTTATAGCGGATCCTTAATCAATGGCGCAAACCATGACGTTGTTCTTCCCCATCACAAATCCGCGTATCTCCTTGGGCCACCGCGTTTGATCGACGTTTTCTGTACAAAACGTGGCATTCAGATCCAGGCATAGCCACGGAGTTTGACACGGATCTATTATCTCTCTGTCGGGCTCAACGGAGAGTCAGGGGCCTCTTCGTGGTGCGTCGGCGGCAGTAGTATTTGTTTCTCTGATCCAACCAGTCGCGTACTGCCTCTGTAGATTCACATACTGTATTCACGAAGTAATGCTACACTATAAATTTAGAATTAAGTTCTACTTGGCGTCCAGGTATAGTAATACTATACGATAGCTATAATAATAATAATAATAAAGAGGGCGTTATATGGAGTACCGCATCACTTTGCAATTATCTAATTGAAGGCTAGTCCGGAGGAATAAATAAGATAAAATAGACCACACATAATATCTGTAGACACAAATTAGTCAGGTCGCATGTCGTGTCGAGGCGCCGCAAGAAACTCACCATGGGATTAAATAATCAGTTACGTTCCAGGTACGCATCCTCATCCTGGAATTCGGTGACACGGTGGCCTACATGGCTATCCCCAGCATCGTGATGGCGGTGGCTCTCGATATAGACCTCCTCGTTCGTAAATTCAGTTATGTCTTTGCCATGACCGTGGCCATGGGGTGGCACGACATACGCCTCTTCGTCCAAGAACTCAGTAATAAGATTGCTCTTATGACCGTGGTGGCTTTCGACATACACTTCCTCATTCGTAAACTCGGTTATGTCTTTGCCATGTCCATGGCCATGGGGTGGCGCGACATACGCCTCTTCGTCCAAGAACTCAGTAATAAGATTGCTCTTATGACCGTGGTGGCTTTCGACATACACTTCCTCATTCGTAAACTCGGTTATGTCTTTGCCATGACCGTGGCCATGGGGTGGCATGACATACGCCTCTTCATCCACGAACTCAGTAATAAGATTGCTCTTATGACCGTGGTCGCTTTCGGCATACACTTCCTCGTCCGTAAACTCAGTTATGTCTTTGCCATGACCGTGGCCATGGGGTGGCGCGACATATGCCTCTTCGTCCAAGAACTGTGTGAGACGGTGAGGCCGGCCCTGAGCATACACCTCCTCGTCTAGGAACTGCGTAATGTCCTTGCTTCCCTGGTCATCATCGTGATGATGGTGGTGGTGATGTATGACTTCGATAATCTCTGCCGACAGGTTAGAGCGGCCCCGTAAACCGGTAATGAAAGGAGGGATCTTACCTATGGGAGCAGCGAGAGCCGTGGAAGGAGCGGTTTGGAAGTCGCTGAGAATGGGAAGAACGACAAAGACGAGAGAAAAGATCTGCGCAGCGTGCATTATGATAGAAGTAATGAAGAATTAGAATTAGAAGTAGATCGTTAAGAAGGTGAATTGTGAAGATGAAAGCATTGCACACCTCCCCTTTAATACTTCTGGACATCAATTTCCCCAAGTCGAAAACAAAGGACTGTTCACATAGCCCCACCGCAAAATCTGTGCGGATCACGTTTCAACGCGCCGTTGATCACCTTTTGTCTCGTTGGCACCCTGTCGGAACGCTTAGTGATGCACTTGGGTAATCAAGAATACATATGCGCGCTCGTTCTGAGGGGAGATCTGCGACAGATAAGGAAATAAGCGCGCAGGGAGGCACCGTCCCTCACAATGGGCTATGACCAACTTCTGCATAGCCCACGGATGGTTCCCCGCCTTCACATCCGAAGATATCGAGATAGCCCACGGAAGTCTGGACCCTTTATCGATGAGGTGGTGACGCGTGACCATGAAACACCGAAAGGGTTTTAGATGGATTTTGACCCCAGAGGAGCTAACTGATGCGTAGGGCGAGTCGGAGAGCTTTCCACATGTAGGCACTCGCTCCGAGTTTACAGTGCTTTCTGTGGCATGGGAGGTGGTGCAATGGTAGGAGTGTGATGACTCGTTTCAAATTCATTCTCCGGAAACTCCGTTTCAAAAATTTTCTGAAGCATCCGCAGACACCGCGGACAAAGACGACATCGCGACAATCTGCGGATCCGACAATGACTCGCATTGTAATCATCGTGTTTTGAGTGATTCGCAGGGCTGACTTTGTTTTGAGGAAGGAAACTAGCATGAGTTGAACTGGTTTTATACTTTGTTCAAAGGTTGAGTGGGGGGGAGGGGGAACCTGTGTGCATCATATCAGGAAAAACCTTGTAGGTTTGCCATGCTTCTTCTAGGTTGAGTCCAACCTCATCATATTATCATTAGATATTAGGGGTGCCCATGCCTTCACCCAATTTTAGAGCACATCCTTCCAATTTATGATAGACTTCATTTCTGCATTCAATGCAAAATTTGGCTCTACAGATGACCTTTCATTGTGGTGGTCACTGAAGGTTTTCTGAGAGAAGACTACTGAAGTTAATCTTGAGCATGGTCACAGTTGAAGCTGGAGAGGTGGTTGTTTAGTGAATTGACAAGCTCTGTGACAAGGCTGTATAAGTCTGAATGTGAGTGTATAAGCAATGTTTCACTTGCTGCATAATCATGAAGAGGGTAGACAAGAGAAAGGTAGTGGCAACAAGTTGATGTTCCGGTATTTTGGTTTGCTTAGATCCTCGGAAGCAAAGCCACGAGTCGCACCACGAGGCAAAGGCCGCCGTTATCGATGAGAAATGGCCATCGATAGGAGAAACCATTGAAAAACTTGAAAAAATTTCCTGCAAATTTGAAAAGATAATTGACATAAAGGGGGTTCCTATTGGAGGATCATCTTATAAATGAGTGTACCTTGACTTAGCAAAGCCATATGTCATCCCAAACTTTTACCTCCTCCTCCATGCTTGCTCCACAGAATGCGGGACCATCCAATGTCTCGGCAACCCAAAAGAGAGTCCGACTTTCTAATGCTGGAATCAGGATACTGATAGGTGAGGCCACCAACTGTTTCACAGTTGATTCAGTGCTCACCTTGATAACCGGGGATGTGTAGATTTCTTTTACAATGTCTCTCGTAATCCGAGCTATGAACAGCAACAGGCCCTACTCGCAAAGATACAAGTATATTCTAGACAAAGTAAAAAATATTTCTGATAGCTATTGACTTGTTGATCAGCTCTTTGAACCAACCTATGATCTCAAACTTCTTCTGGCTTGGTTCAAGCGAAGGAGAGCCATCGAACGCAAACGATCTGCAAGCACCTCGGGCACAGGCATGTCGCTGAAAAAGAGTTCATCCGGCCTCGCTCTCACGCAAATCATTGCTTCGATCTACAGACCCTAACAGGGCACCAGTGCTAAACCCAGAACAGATCAGGCACCTTACGACGCTCTTCAACGACAACAAAAATCCGACCCTGCAGGTTTTACAGACGTGGGCGACTCTTCTCAAAGTCAGACCCTCTGTCATAACACAGTGGATCGACGAGAGGAACAGGCCTCCCTCCCCTGCACCTACCGTTTCACCGGAACCAAACTTTCAGAATTCTACATTTATTATATCCAGGTGCTCGACGTCCGTATCATCGCCTGTCGTCGCCGAATCGCTGCAATCGCCAGCTCGTCCTATTCTTTCGCCCATCTCGCCTCCCACATTGCCCTCTCCAGTCTCTCCCCCATCTTCCGCAATCACGGTATGTTTAAAAAAAATGTTTTTTTTTTTACATAAAAAACGGATCAAGCTTGTCAGAACTGAGGCGACGCTTGACAGATACCGGTAGACGCATACAGGCGGGACATCTTGCGCACGTTTGCCGAGTTGGACGCTGCTCGGCACGCTGAACCACCGACAGGTCCAATCACGAGAGAAAGGCTTAACGAGCTCTTTGCGCCTCATGAAAAGAATATGAAGAGGTTTATGCAGATGGTCGAGAGTGGGGAATTGAGACATCAAGGATACACTCCGGGTACTTTATATTCTGCCCCTTTTGTCTTTGCTGAACACCTACTTTGTCTAGCAATGGCGAGACGTTGATCTGAAACTCGCATTATTCAAGACACCTTCCTCGCTTTATTATCGTATTGCTATTGCTATTGCCATTGTATTACTGTATGCTTTGTTATGTTCCTTTTACTGTAAAATGAGCTAGTTGACCACCTCCCTCATACTCCAAAGCAATGCACCACCACCAGCAATTGCTAAATGAAACTGTTTATAGCATTCCAATGATAGCATCAGCTTGTAGCGTAGATATGCAGAGATGTACATGTAGAAACCAATAACGATAAGAGGTACTGATGGCTCAGACGCGCCACTCCTTGAAATAGTCATAGTCCCGCTTGACAAAGGCAAGCATGTAGTCGGCAACAGTACCGCCCTCATCATCCTCCTCATCCTCCTCCTGCCCTTCCTCGGGCTGCGGTTCAAGATCAACCTGCGAACTCTCCCTATTGTCGACATCCCGTGTCACCTCCCCCTCACCGAAATCCGCCTCGTCCGCTCCGACGATAGCAACTTCCTCCCGCGTAGCAACAGCCGCAGCATGCGCATCCTCCTGATCATCAAACTCCTCCAGGGCATTCGTCAAAGCCTTCTCGTCATTAAAAATCGTCCGCCAGTCAAACCCTCCCTTCTGTATCACAAGGTCATCAAGTGATCGCTTTTGGTTAGCTTTTCGCAGCATCGCCTCCTCGACAGTGTATTGTGAAACAAATCGGTAAATGTGAACATCTCGCATCTGGCCAATTCGATGGGCTCTACGGTCATTAATTAGTAACCACAGAACTAACAACAACAAAGAAGTACAGACCGATCTTCGCATTGACGATCCATCTGAGGGTTGAAATCACTATCGTAGAAGACGACGGTATCCGCACCGGTGAGACTTAATAGCGATGACGTGAGCAAAACGACTGGTAGTTATTATCGACAACACTTACTTGATGCCAACACCGCCGGATCGAGACGAGGCAATAAAGCAGAAGACCCGGGAATCAGCATTGAAGCGTTCCGTAATGTACTGCCGATCCTCTATTTTCGTGGCCCCGTCCAGACGTAGATAGAGGTACCCATGAAAGTTGAGAAAGATCTCGAGAATGTCCAAGATGCGGGTCATCTGAGTGAATATGAGCACGCGATGGCCACCAGCCTTCTTTTCCCGTAATAGAAGATTTAGCTGCTGGAGCTTGCCGCAGTCATACTGGAGGAGCAACGGATCAGGGAATGCGATCTGTAGTTTGGCGCTGGACTTGTGGAGCACCGCGTCGAAGTCCCGAGGAATTTGATTGATCGACAATGAAGGGAAGGCTAAGCGGGGAATATCAAGGGCAACCACAGCAGGCGTCGCGAAGGCGAAATGATCAATGATACTGGCCATTTCGTCTGAACGCTCAGTGTAGGTCTTGACCATCCTGTGCGTCGTGATCACAGTATCAAGATACGCTGTTTGGTCAATACAAGGAAGGGGCAGGATGGGCTTGTTGATGCTCCCTACATACGCGATCATCTCGCGGCTAGCGATAGGGTACATCTGGATTCGGTGGCGATTCACATATGCCACTTGCGTCCAATGTGCGATCTTGTCAGCCCGAGTCTTCCAAGCTGTGTATGCACGAAACCCATCAATGCTGCGCACGTCCTTAGGAGGCGGCTCTCCAGGCAGTTCATAGATAAACGGCAGGCGGGATGTCGCGTCCAAGTTCTGTACCTCCATGGCACCAAATTCCGAAGTGTTCTGCTGACCAATGAACCTAAGTCCCAGGAAATCAAGGTTCACAGACTCCTCTTCCTCGGCTAGTAAGTGCCGGCGGATAAGAAGCTCCTTGATCTCAAAACCAGCGACAGCCGACCGCGTCATTGCGAACGAGGTTACGATGGGGCGAACTTCGAAAAGATCTGGATGATTGCAGACTTTGCGGAGCTGCATGAGGATGTTGGCAATTTTTTGATAAACGCCAGACTGGAGAGCATCTTGAGTGTGGGCTCTTGACATGAACTCGTCGTACAGATATCGCTGGCGTTTCGACAGTGGACATAACATCAGATGCTCAAACTTGGTAGGAAGCTCCTTCTCAACATCCCGCTTCAGCCTGCGCAAGAGGTACGGGCGTAGAACCGTGTGCAGCTTGGAGACACGCTGCATCGTCTCGTCATCGTGAGCATTCCCCATCTCTATCGCCTTTTCCAACGGGTCTAAACGGAACATATCGTTATAACGACGCTTGCAGAGGAACAGACAACAAACTGCACTCACTAGAGAACCAATCTCCAAACTCTTTCAGGTTCGCAAAGTTCGATCCCGACATTAGGAACTGCAACAGCGCCCATAATTCAGTCAGATTGTTCTGGAGTGGAGTTCCGGTTAGGAGGAGACGACGAAAGGACCGAAACATCAACAAGATGTTCCATCTTTGTGACCTAAAATTCTTGATCATATGTGCCTCGTCCAGAATCATGTAGTACCAAGCTCTCCGTTTGAATATATGGGCGTCTCGACTCGCCAGGGTGTATGACGTTATGCAAACGTTGAAATGATATTTGTCATTCCATCCTTGACGAAGCTCTTTGCGACGTTTGGTCGTACCATGGTAGCCGAGGACCCGGAAACCAGGAAGGAATTTCTTGAACTCCATTTCCCAATTCAGAAGAACGCTAGTAGGAACAATCTAGACGTCATGTTAGTAATTTACAGAGGTACCAACGAATCGTCCCTTACGATGAGATGAGGACCCCATATCCCACGGTCGCAAGCAAGATGTGCCAACAATGATATCGTCTGGATGGTTTTTCTGAACGGAAAGAACTGTTACCTTAGTATTCAACCGCATCACATAAAAGTACGAACCCAAGGCCCATCTCATCTGCAAGGATCCCATTAAGGTTGTTGCGATGGAGAGTCGTTAACCATTCCAACCCTGTTTGCTGATACGGGCGTAATACACCACGAAGAAGCAATGGAGGTTTGATCGGTGCATCGGCATCCCACTCGACCGGAGCTACCGCAAAAGGCTTCAGATACTCCGGAATTATGGGCAATTTTGGCAATTCTTGTTCTTCTTCCTCCGGTTCATCCCGTGGTGCAGCGTGCGGTTCCGTGCCGTTGACTCCCGCGTCCGTGTTCGTCTCACAAGGACACGTTTCATCGCTGATGGCGTTAGCGAACGGATCCGCTCCATTAACCTCCATTTTCTCATCCAACGCGGACTGTGGTGAGACTTCATCAAGTGTATCGATCGTGCCTTCTACTTGAGTTTCACAAGAGGGTAGATCTATCGCCGGGGCAGCGCTTTGAACCTCTGCCGGTCGCGCGTCCTCTGAGGCAGTAAGAGGTTGAGCCGAGGCGTGTCTCTCGTATTGCCGGGGAGACGCTTCAACGGATAACGACGATGGAACCGTTTCAGCATAGTCTGACGGCGCTACAGAATCATCCATGGATGGCGCCTCGCTGGCTTGCACACTGAGTAATGATGGAAGCGAAGGCGACCCAAGTGGATACGATGATGACGTTAGTGTTGCAGGGGGACTGGATTCTGGTAGTATGAGCAAGTCTTCGAGCGTGAGCATCAGAGACTCGTCGTTTACGGCGTCATCAAGCGCAACAGAATCTTTCGAAGGCAAAACTGAAGTTAATGACGTCGGAGATACCTCTATACTCTGAGAGGTTGGTGTATCTTGATTTCCCCCAAGCAGAGCAGTCGTTTCACCGTCCACATCATCGTCTCCTTCCTCACCACTATCTGACTGGTCTTGTTCGGGCTCCTCTTCACCGCTCTCACCACCGTCTTCGTCTTCTGCCTCGCCATCACCCTCACTATCGTCCGAATCACTACCCTCAGAACCCCAAATCCTGAGTCCATCGCTCGATGTGCTACGCGAGCGACGGGCAAGACTGCTTTGCTGTGTCTCCAACAACAGCCCAGATTGATCTAGAATAGCATCGAGATGTTCATGACCTCGTTTTAGTTCTTCTGCCTCGCGTTCCACCTGCTCTTGACGACGGATGTGCTAGAATAAGAATTAGCAGCAGAGAGATGGCAGAAGTCGGATATACATACCAACACAATTTTACCCCATGCAGACGTCACCTCCTTGATGGTCTGCTTCGCCAAGACTCTTAATCGCTTCTCCTCCTGTGCGCGTTTCTTGTCCCGTTTAGCGTGCTGCCCTTCCCAGTATGTTTCCACCTTGGAGGCAATCTGAGAAGCAATCTGTGCGCCCACAGGCCGCTTGATCTCTGCTTGACCCAACGCTATGATCTGCTCGATGCAACAGTCCCACACATCCTTAGTCGTTCGCTCGGGGCCTTGGGGTGTTTCTAAGTCTTCAGCGATATCGCCCTCTTCCTCGGCTCTGTAAAACCATCGGCCCTCTTCCTTCAGTTTGGACGCCCGCTCCAAAATTTCCGCGTCGTGTCGTATTGATCCTTGCAGAACACGAGTAGAGACATCCTTATGATCCATCGTCGTATATGAGGACAAGAAGGCAGAGATCGAAGACCCATGTTTTGGAGGTGGCGGGAGCTGGTTGGGATTAGAATATGATGGCGGAGGACGGCGGACAATGAGTTTGACGCGTTTGATATTGGAATAAGGAGAAGGTGGTGGTGCTGGTGGTGGTGCTGTCACCTACAATAAACACCTTAGCTAGAAGTAAACTCGAAGGTAGATAGAACAAACCCGATGCGCTGCAGCACGAGCAGGTAATGCTCGGCCGCCTCTTGTAGAGATCGTAGCCGGGGACTTACCGGTCAAGCTCTCTGCGACCGATTCCTCTCTAGGCCGTTTCCTGACTGAAACTCCATTGGACAAAGCGTTTAGGCACTTTCCGGACAAAGGGACGACCTCTGAACCTGAGCCACCTAGGAATTGCTTTCGTGGTGTTGACGAGGGTTCCATAGCGTTATGCCAACGTCCGATGACAGAAACTGGTTCAGGTGCAGACGGACCTATTTCTGGAGGAGCATCTGCGGCAACAGCAACAGCAACCGCAGAGGTAGTATCTTGCGACCGAAGACGCCTCCCGGTCGTAGGCGCTAATTCCCCACTTGATGTGCCTCCGACGTGCTTTCTTGTTGAAATGCTCGTATGACGCCATCCTACAACAGATGGTCCCTCGGTAATTTCAGACGGCCCAAACTTTGCTTTTTTCCTGCTCTTGTTAATTGAAGGTGATATGAAATCCATCTCAACATCCGCCATCGAATGGAGATCCTTTGGGGGGACATTTCTTCCAGTGGGAGCAGGTGCAGAGACCGTAGACATGGACGCCTTTTCTTTCCCTTTCCCTTTCACTGGAGACGGTCTCGCAGTCGACAGAATGTCCCATATTGTAGTGCTGTTCGCTTTTCCTTTACCCTTCTCGACGGAATCTCGAGACACGTATGTAGGAGCCGTGACGACTTGCCGTCGTTCGCTCCGAGTTCGTCGACCCGAGGATGGACCCGCAGTGTTAAGAAGGTCAAACTGAGCCTTGTACTGTGACATACTGTTAGCATCCAAGCGTTTTCAAGATACAGAGCTACGTACATCGTTGATGACGCCTGTCTGCTCTGCCTTTGCTTCCTAAACATGAAGGGGTCAATGCTACTGACACGCACATCGTAAACAGACTGCTCGCCTTGGGGTCATATCCAAGCATCAGAGTAAATGTTTCCATATGAAATGCTTCTCGGACCTATTAGACGTCAGAAAGAATGCCAGAGTAGTCGGTGGCGAGGCCGACGCACCAGAGTGTCGTGTCTGTCGTAGATACTCTCCAGCTGTCTCTGCCTCTCCTCAACTAGAGCCTCGCGCCTCGCCTCGACTGCTTCTTGCGCATCATTCTGCATGGTCTGATTTCGTCCCCTCTTCAGTGAAGTAGGTGCCATTTTCCGATATCCTATATTGTGTTGCCTTCTCCACGCGCAATTCCTGAACAATTGGGGCGGGCTCACAGACTGAGACCCATGTAAAATTATAAAGATATCCGGGCCCTAAGACGACATGAACGAGGATCCCGGTCGATAGACGAGGCCACAAGGCAACGGTGAATGCACTGCTGAGAAATAGGCACAAAGCTCGATATCGCTGGATTCTGGACGGTTCAAAGAGATTTTCGCACGAAAATAAAGGGTTTGGAGAGTTTTTTACGCTTCCCAACACAAGGAAGAGCCTTTGTGGATGAGCGCTGGTGCTGGGAGAGAAATAGGAACTGTCGGGCATTTTTTGGGATTGTTTGCGAGAAACAAATACCGCTTCGCGCCGAGTCGCGACGCGCACCTCATTATTTAAATAAATTGCCACATTTCCGAGCAAATGTAAAATATATACTGGTAACCAACAATGTTACGTTATGGATAATCGAGCAAAAATGACTTTACGACATTTTCGTGGCCTCAATGGCTGAGCCATACCGCACGTAAGGCTCAAACGTGGCGTACACCTGATTGAAAATTTCATTACTATTTACCTTCAAGCTTCAAGAACTGGTACCAGTTCGCGCCGTGCTCAATGCACACCTAGATCCGAAAAGGAGCTGCAGTATGTTTGTTGGATCGATTTAGGAGATACGGAACTGCAATGAAGAATATCATATAAGGGTGCGACGTCTTCCAGCTCCAGTCCCGTGCAGGTATTTAGGGACACAGATGACTAAGGAAATCACTGCGGATGTTAGCTATGACACGCGGGTCCACCGTTCCATTGTCTTAACTTTTGGGCGGAATACGAGGTAGGAGCAATCCTGCCATACCAAAAATTAATAAAACGAACACAAAGAATGGCTTAGGGTATCCCAGATTCATCTCGAGCAAGGATGGCAAGAGAGATGATATGGATCGAGATATTAAAAGTGGGTACTAGCTGGCGCGCCACGATCTAAAGAATTTTACCTGCCAGTTCGAGTAATGCCCGTTAATAGGCGCTGCCTCGAAGGACAGCTGCATGCCATATCCATAAACGAAAGAAAGACGTCTAGAATCTCGGACGACGTGGTCGTCGATATGAAAGAGGCAGGGCCGGGCTGAGAGGGCAACAAACCCAGGCCAAGGCATGCCGTTTGTTCCGTTCTAAATGAACCTTATGTACAAGGACACCCACGCTAGTCAGCAGCATATATAAAGCTTTCGACCCATGGAAAAGTCTCGGCTCCGATTCTACATTCGCGGAATTTGAACACCACGAGCCATGAGAGAACAAACATTGCATGAGGTTTAGCTCGATGTAAGGAACTGGTCACAGGCAAGTCAGGGGTCTAGTATTCATGTAAACTCTTGTCAGCACAGTTGGCATAAAAATAATATACCATAGCATGAGGGTGTTCGCTTTCCGATTGTGCTTCCCTTTTTGATCCAGTCTATTCGTCTTGGCGTCGACACCAGGACACAAGACTGCGCACACGACTCCGTGCCAAGGGCTTCTGGGTGGTACTATCAAGTAGCTATATCACATATAAGAATCAGAACTCACCGACTCTGAATTGCCCGAGAAGTACGCATCGAGCACACTGATCATCACTCATATAATACTCCTCTCCACTTCGATCTCATTCTCCGCCAACAGCCCCTCCAAATCCAAGTTGCGCTGGGAGAAAAGAATTGATCAGATCCAACCAGGTTCTGAAGTCTTTCAGGACAAGCAGGCCACACCAGATCCCATGGTCGAAGCTAAACAAGTCCCATGACATCCATTTTGGTCCCCTCTGTATCAAGACTTTCCCAGTTGTTTACAGCCAAAATCACACACAAGCGACAAGAGTTCTCAGCCTGATGGAGATAATCGAGGTATTGCACAAGGATCATCGGTGCACTCCTCGCCATCCCAGACAGGCCGCTTAAATATCTTAATAACTTTGACCAAATGTGGATGGAATGGAGTACGGCCGCACACCTCCAAGTGATGCATATCCAGGAATACATCGTATGCCGCCCTGACATCCAGGATATCGCAAACGATATCAGACGAAATGAGGAGGCTTTCTAGGTCTGTGGGTCTGACAAGTAGGATAGAAGTCATCTTTCAGGCTCTGAAAGGATCGGACTGCTTCTGGAAGGCGTTCCACAGGAAGGGATAAATAGTCAAGATACCAAGCATACACATACATGCTGCATATAAGGGGTCCACACATGCCCAGTCGAGTAATAGAGTCCATTCCCTGCTCTCAGAGATATATTATGGAATACTGCGATTTCTTAGGTGGAAAGAGCTGACGACTAGACTCTCAAGGAACGAACAATGACCCGAAACGCCTTTCGAGCATCTTTGGTTTTGTTTTCGGTCATAAAGAGTCAAGAAAGCGTAAATTCTGTGAGAGACAGAATGACTCTCAAGCGCATAGAGATGGATGGGTGATCCCGGTGTCGATTATACATAGAGAACAACCGCAAAATCTTGCAGCTGAAATCACAGCAGTGCTAAATCCTACCCCAGGCGAGGCGAGGATAAGGGTGACGGCGGTGGCTCATTACGATTGAGATCCCAGTAAACCACCGTGGCAATGGAGCCAACAATCCAAGAGAGGGCAAGTCGTAGCGGAATCGGGAATAGCACCAGCGCGGCAAAAAAGACAGCCTGGGCGATGTGCATGAGCACCGGAAGCAATCCCACGATTACATGGAACCCCATGTGTCGACATTGTTGAACATGGCTCCGCTCGCGAGGTGATCCAGAAGGCAGGGTTACGTAGTAGTGGAGCCAGTGCTAGAGCTGTCGTCAAGCTCAGGACCAGGCTGGTGGACCAAAGCCCCTTCAACCACACGTTGCCAGTGGAAGACATAAAGATGGAAGAAGGATCGTACGGAAACGCAACGACTGTGTCAATTGCAGCACCACTAGCAAGAGCGCGTTGAATAGCCACTAGCTCAAGAAAAAGAATGGACGCCGCGATTTGAATGTAGTCTGGAGAAAGACTCTGGGATGCCTGAGTGACAAAGGATCCATCTTTACAATGGTTAGTGTACAATTCAATCGTTGCGGGAAATATGTCAACGTTGTGCCCTGGAATCCTCAAATCGATCGTCGCTATCACGTGAATATCACCTGACGTCACTACGCTGCCTTTCTGGGAAGCTGTGCAGGTCGGGGTATCCTTTGATTTCAACCTTCACCTCAACAAAACAATCTTCATAAACAATGTCTTACAGTGGTGTATGTCCTGCTCAGTAGGTGTCAGGATGCATACTGATTCCAATAGTATGGAGCACCTCCCTCTCCTGAAGGTCCATACAATAGATAGCAAGCCATCTCCAGGTGGAGGATATGCTTGTGGTGGAGGATTTTCCCTGCTGCCAGGACCGCAAGAACCCTCTCCTGGTGCTAATCCTCAGTGCATAACTTCAGCCAGAATTTATGAAAAGAAACTGATCTTCACTTGCAGACTTTGGAACTGATTTAGCACTGTTGACACTGATAGATCAGGTGCTATCACCATTGCTGAATTAGATGCATCTCTCAGCCAGTTTAATGGGATTTCAAAGATTGACATGATGCATTAGTGCTCATGTTGAATGGTGATTAGACTCATATGTCAACATCAAAGCTACAGACTGCAGGATTGTGTTTGACAGTTCTCTAGCTTTTGATTTTGATACTATAAAGCTCTTGATGTTGATGTTCATATGTCCATGGCTCTTAACAATCCCCTGTCAAGTCACCTTATCACTGCTTTCTAGGATACTGATCATAGTGGAACTATCAGATTTAATAAAGTAAGATTAGTCTCTCAGTGCTTATCAGAAGCCTGATTCTCATGTTAATGTTAGTTTGCTGGACTTTGGAAGTACATCAAGGTAAGGCATATTATCATCTTTCTCATAGGTTTGTGTTCACATACACTCTCATCAGAACTGACAAAATGTCTTCCAACACTTTGACTGTGGTTGATCAGAGTCTATTGATGAAAATGAGCTTCAAGATGCTTTGGCACAGTTTGGATGTGTCATTTCATTTCTTTCTTCATTTCTATCTAAGGCTTGCCTTCAGTTACTGACTGTCTCTACTGCTTCTCAACTTAGTCCAGTGGAAGTATAGTGAGTAAATTAGATATGAGGATGTTACAGAAAGCTCTGACAGACATGTTGGAAAAAGAAATACATGCATTCCAAAGAAAATGCATTCATGCATATGAATGTGACACATTTGTGACAGATGCATTCAGTGCATTAACCTAAGTTTAACTGCATAATTGTGTGTATCCCTCATACTTCTGGCTTAGTGAAAGGCATTTGATACTGTTCTGTTACTGCTAGGATTCTCATAAAAATTGTCTATTTAAACAAGAACACCTTCTATATTTTGACAACAGTAGTCTAAGATTTCTTTTTCTGAGCATGCTTGGCTGGTTGCTTAGTTGGTTTTTTATTATCATCCTGTAGTGAATTCTCCAGTGTCAGGCTCTGATACTGCCTTACACTTTCTAAATATCACCTGAGGCTAAGGTACAGATTCACATGCTTGTTAGACCTCTATTAAACACTCACAAATGTCTAACACTGCTTCTGTCAGGGTCCAATTCTAGATTCTGGGTCTGGGTCTGGTTTTGGTATAAGAGTATAATGAGAATGATGAGGTAGACAATAAGGATTTTGTAGATAGAGATGAAGGATTGTGGCTGGTAGATATAGTCTGCCATTATAGCAAGAGTATTTGCACCAGGTAGTCAGAGAGTTTAGCAGATGTATTGAACCTTAGCTCAAGACTGGGGTATATCAGTGTGTATTACTGTCTTAAATACTGTCTAAAGAACTTCATGCTCTACAGGTGACTATTGTCTGCTTTTCATGCCCTCTGCTTATTGTCTGGGATAATAATGACTGTGCCCTTGCTTTTATTTGTTATTGTTGCTCTGCTATATCATTGCTATGGTGAGTTTTCCATATGCCACAGTTTCTATTATATTCAAGACATGGAGTAGTGATAGTTACTGCATTGTTTTTTGTCATCTTATTGTGCATTGATGAATAAGGCATAGCCATGATGTTGTCATGTCTTTATCATCTTTTGTAAGGTTGGTCTGGGGTCAGAATTGGTAAGCATCTGCTTACTAAACATTGGCAGGTCATGATTTAGAGGCAAAAATCATGACAATGCTCTTTTCTTTATATTATCTTCTTCTCTTGCTCAGAATCACTCCTGCTGTTTATTTTCATCAAAATCTGATTCAGGCTTCTCAATGTTAATGATTATAAGAATAATATATAATTGTAAAGCAGTTCAAGCTCACCTCAAGTTCATATTTTGTCTCTTCTCTC